TCTCTCTCTCTCTCTCTCTCTCTCTCTCTCTCTCTCTCTCTCTCTCTCTCTCTCTCTCTCTCTCTCTCTTTCTCTCTCTCTCTCTCTCTGTGGCTTCCCTATTGCCGTCTGCGTGGAGGTCTTATTGTCTACGTACAGTTTTGCTCCACCCCTCTACACATGCAGGATGTATACTTCTGTTTCCTAGGGGAAGATTCATTCTGGAGACTTGTTTTTTTTTTGTTTTTTTTTGTAATGAGGACCATTTCTCAATTTATGTGTGTCGCTCCAACTATGACGAATGCCCCAGGGACAGGCCTGTGGCTACAAGGGCGTGTACCGGATTTTTTTTTAGAGCCCGTTTTCTGAAGTTGGTGCCCAAAACCCGTAGCATAATGCACGTGCGTTGTATACGAATACAACGCACGTCGTGCGTTGTATTCATATACAACACACGTGCGTTTTGTTCGGGGGAAGACTGTAGTTGAAACACTATTGAATGAGCCCTGTCACACGGGTACTTTGGTCGCCAAGCGTGATCGTCCTATGCACTCCTTTTCCTATGAGCACCAGCCCGGGTTGGTCAGACAGCGAGTATTCCATAGGGCCACAACTCTTCTATTTTCAGCCGTTGTTGGAAATTGGACCTGCTCATTGCATCTCACAAGTGGTTAACGGGGACCCCCACTTTCAGCTCCTTGGTTAACGGGTTCAAAACTGAAATTAGGGTATGATCTTATCCCACCAGTCTTCCCATAAGTGGTGCCGAGCAGCTTGCCTCAGTTGTAGAGAATGCTGCGGCTACAAAACACACATAGATGTGCCAAGAAAGTCCAGCTCTCCACAGACAAAGTGAAAGATGCAAGAGGTGTCATCCTCCATGGCCTGGCGCAACGGCGCTCTGGAGGGCACAGAAACAAAATATGAGTGAAAAGATGGCTTCCTAAAATACCATCATGACAACATCCTCCATAATTTCTGTCATGTTGCCACCTTCCGGAAGAGTTTGAGGAAACCTGGGGTTTGAAGTCTTTTGATGTATTTACTATTTAGCGGTATCCGCAAAGGCAGTCAAATTTTTTGTGCGCTTTCTCGCCTTCGTGGGATTCAGATCCGAAGCGTCTGCTCTTCGAGCCGTAAGGTTGCCACCGCATACTTCGAAAGATGTTGTGGCCCGCCCGTCACACCATGGCAATTTCTGTTGCTGGAAATCGTCGATCGAGTGCTACATGGAATGACACATGGAATGCCAAATGGATTGTCAGATGAAAAGAGCTATGGAATGGTCGATGGAGTGCCAGATGATGATGGGATTTCCAAGTTTTGCCAGATGGAGTCCCACATGGGGTGCCAGATGATGGGGGTGTCCAAACTTTTTTTGCCTTATGGAATTCCACATGGAGTACCAGCTGATGATGATGATGATGATGGGGTTTCCAGGTTTCGCCAGATGGGGTCCCGTATGGAGTGCCAGATGCTGGGGGTGTCCAAATTTTTGACTTATGATGGAGTCCCACCCCACATGGAGTGCTAGATGATTATGATGGGGTTTCCAGGTTTTGCCAGAAAAGAGGTCCTAAATGGAGTGCCAGATGCTGAGGGTGTTCAATTTTTCCCAGATTGTGAGGGGGTCCAAATTGACTGCCAGATGAAATCCTCCACATGGAGGGCCAAATGGAATTACACATGGAGTGCCAGATGATGAAGGCAAGGGTCCCCCCACTTGGGGTGCCAGATATTGAATCTGAATCCCACATGGAATGCCAGATGAAGTGCTAGATAGGCGCATCAAAGGGTTCAGCAGTGTGCACTGGATATTTCTCTGCTTTGCTATTTTGTCCTAACCTAGAGAGAGTGACGGGTCCTGTGCAGAGCGACGAGGCAGGCTTACTTACCTACCTTTATTGTTGACGTCATTTGGCTGACATGTGCAGGGGAGGCAGGTGTTGACTCCTGAGCTTGGTGGCACTATTTTGCCTGGGATAACAAGAAAGAGCATACTGGAACTTGCTGCCAGTCTTGGCTATGAGGTATGGACCACCGCTCCAAGCAGAACAAGATGAACAGATGGTCAGGCAGCAGCACAAGCAGCTAGACAGGAAGATGGGCTGCCCACTCCACGGCCCTAAAGCTAACCCCTTTTATGAAACCAATTGAAATTAATGCGGACTACCTTTGGGCTTGTCCAACTGAACTCGATGCGTACTAGCTTGGGGTTTGTCCTGCGTTCATCACAATTACCTAATTTAGTAATTTGTTTGGTTGAAGATGCAGTGGCCCTCAAGCGACCCCTATTTGTGGAGGTGTGAGGTTGACTGTAATGCTTTTGGTTTTAACATTGTTATGCCGGGCCCAGACATCGGGCCCAGGCGCGGGACGGATCCGGACGTCTGGCCGGACCTCTGCCTAGTTTGGTCCAGATCATGTCCGAATAACTGGAATTGATCTGGACATGCCCGACATTCCGGACCTGGACTGTTCGGATAGGGGGGCTTAGGGCCTTGCTGCCACAACTCGCAAACATTTTGAACGTATCCAGACTAGTTCCATGTTCAGATTCGTTCAGAATGTTGGTGTTTGGCGAGTGGTGTGGCAAGGCCCTTGGGCTCAGACATGCCCGGGGAAAGAATAGAATTCTTACCTGACATCATCACATACCTGAAATTCTACGAACAGAAACGAGCAGATAAGATGGCTCTCTCCTCGTCCTCCTCCTCGTCGTCCTCCTCCTCCTCCTCCTCCTCCTCCTCCTCCTCTCCCTCTCCCCACTCGTTTTCAAATACAAATGACAGGGAACCGAGCATTGAACCACTGCGCCCATTCTCGTCCATCTATTCTACGAAGTTGATGGATGGATGAAGTGGATGAAATAGATGAGAGGGAATGCGGTGTAACGGGGGATGCGCTCGATGAGAAGAGCAGTAATCTGCCTGCTTGTTGGTGACTTCATTGGCCGAGATTCTGCTATAGCAGGCTAAAGAGATACGGCAGTTTGGTGTTGGTTAATCTGTGGTTAAGGGGTCATCAATTTGGTGATCACAAGCAGCGCCACATGCAACCAACCCGTGCATGGTGTTACCTGCCCCAGAGGAAGCATCCAGTATCTGTCAGAATTCCGCAGAATTTGATCATTTTGGCGCTCATACACAAGTCGGTGAATGGCCGACAAAACAGTCTGGCACAGCCCTGCTCTTTTTGTGGAGCTGTGTATAGAGAAAACTGACAACACACTTACTCACATCAAATGGGTAAACCATATATACGCTTGGCAAGGGTTGGTAGAAGACCTTAAAAGCTCATTTCTTGGCATGCGCGACCAAGACGGGGGTTGAAAACTGTGTCCACCTGGGGAGGGGTAGCATCCTGGCCGCAAGAACCGCAACAAAAATGTTAACAAGAAAGCGTGGTTGGCCTGCAGCCTGTTACAGTATGTCGTAATGAGCGCTAGTCAAATCTCGGCCATTTTGGAAGGGGGTGCCAGTGTGTGTTTTCGCTGAAAGGAACATGAATCTGCTCTTTTGTCCGTGTTTTTCAGGAAGGTA